CTTACTTAAAATTCCCATTCTGATTCCATCATCCTGGTCACCAAGCCTTGCGACTTCCTCTCTGAAAGATCTCTCTAGTGGGTTCCCTGGTTTTTCATTTTCAGTATAGTGCTGTACGATCGGCTTTGGCTTTTCTGCCCTGAAACTACAGTTGAGAATGGCTTTCTGGAAGGCTGCAGGAAGAAAGGAGCAGTCAGAGGAAGCAGACAGACTCCAGTTCCCAGAAGGGACCCGGGGAAGGATCCATGCAGAGGAGAGGGAGGAATAAGACAGACCCAGCTGACTTCACTGCATCCCAGCTGAAGAGGCTAAGGACAGACCTCGACTGACACGGTGCCAATCTGCAAGTACCTTTCTCACTGGTAGCTGCTGGGTTTCACCCATTCTGTTGCTTTGTAGTTGGCCCTTAGGTCATTGCTGTTGGGTGGGCTGCAATGGGGCCCGAGAGAGCGGAGTGAAAGGGAGGCACCACGGGAGGTGTGCAGAAGGGAGCCTTCCAGCCACGCTTTCCTCCCCTCTGGAACAGGGAGCAGAAAACCTGACAGGAGCTGGTGACCGCAAGGGAACATGTGGATGTTCCTCCTCCAAACCTTGCAGACCTGCCATAAGCTTTGCTGGATATTGATTTTGGTGTTTTCCAGCTCATGCTTCCTTCTCCTCTCAGAGACTGAGGTCCCCAGTCAGACAGACCAGCTCCAAGGGGTGCCAGGACGTGACTGGTGGCAGCATCTCACCCAGCCCACCCTCAGCTGCACCCACCAGTTACAGACAATCGGACGTGTGCTCAGCCACCTCAAAGGACACACAGCTGCCTTGAAAAGGCAGAATCCTGAGTCTCCCGTGACAACTGCATAAGGACTTTTCCAAAAAGCCCTACTTAAATTCAACCACTGATTTTAGCACCTCTGTGTCACTTGGTCCTTAGCTAAGTTTTTAAAAGAAACAGTGTTTAACTCAGGTTGTCACAGAGATAAGAAGCCCAGCTCACACGTTAAGGCATGTGACAAAATAATCTCAGTGCTGCGCTCTGAGGCACTTCTGGTATGGGCCCTTTAGCCAGGCTTGTTAATAGATGAGCAACTGAAAGTTAAAACGTTTTCACAGTCTCGGTGCTAATGGCTTTAGGATAAAAATGATAAGATATACAAATGTTAATCAAACCCAACGTGAAATTTTTATGCTCATAGCTTTTACACAACTATAAAACTGAAATAAGCTGAAAAATTAAATTGTCATTTTAGCCCTAATTTATGTTGATAACTTTGTCAAAGTTAATACTATTAGTTATGTCACTTTATTAAAACTAAATTGGTGCTGTAATTAATGGCACAGGTGACTGCTACGCAGGTTCTGCCTGGCTGGACAGGGTCTGTGGAGCGTAACACCACACAGAGCTAGAAGGCTGTTACCCTTCCCTCCAAGGCTTCCAAGTCTTCATTGATTTACCTTTTTCTATCATCATTTAATTTTCAATCAATTCAAATACCACTCACAAATTAAATCAACCAGTATTGATGGATTTGAAATATTTCAATTCTACTGCAGAAACAACTTAGAAGCTAAGCTAAAATGAATAGTTAATAGTCAAGCTCACAACACAAAGGTGGCCTCTACCTTTGTCACTTTCCTTGTCACTGGGACAAAACACTAACACCTGTCATTTTGAGGGGGAGAGGTTTATTTGGACTCATGTTTTTAGAAGTTTCAGTCTCTGCATGGTCAGTGCCATGGCAGAGGGACCCAAGCAGGGCAGAGCTGCTCACTTCATGGAGGACAGTATGCAGATGTAAAGAGGGGAGCTGGGAATGGAGACACTAGGTCACACCCCAACCCGTGTCTTCCAGCCAGACCCCACCTGCTACCAGCAAGTCATCTAACAGCCACCATAATCCAATCATCTCGCCAAGCATGTGAGGTCAGAAGGACTGTTTTAGATCACGGTATCTTCAGACACTGGACACATACAGAGAACTCAAAGAAAGGGCAGTAAAACATCACTGTTGTCATGACCCAGCAGGAACAAGGATGTACAAACTGGACAGGAGGCTACATGGATTCTAGCTAGGTGAGGGACAGATGTGATCATACCTTCCTCACCACAACCTGGAATTCAGAATTCTACAGAAGTCTGGCACCATGAAAGGGTTCATCCTCAGTAGCAGGTGTACAAAACTAAACTCCATGAGCAGCATAAGAGAGTTCGTGGCTCCCTACAGTTATTCATTAGAAAACTATGTCCACCACAAGAAATTGAACACCATTAGCCCCAGGCACCAGGAGTCCAGGTATATTTTTTTCATGTAGTAAAAGAATACTAAGTCAAAACAGTAACTTTTAAAAATCCCCAAGTTGACAAAACTCTCAGATTTCCAATCAAATCAAATGCAAATGCCACCATGATATCATTTTCAAAATTGATTTTCTTTGGGCAAATTGGAACAAAGTAGAGAAAATTAGCTCATAATCAAACATTAGAAGAGGAAATATTCCACAATTGACACACTGAACAGAATCAGTTATTTAGAAAACATAATAATAAGCCAAAAACAATGGGAGAAAAAAATGCTTAAAACTACTAGTGATTTTAAAAGAAAATAAAGACTATGTAATTTTAAAAGTGAAAGAGGAAGAGTCATCAAGAGCACGCTGGGTTAGGTAGTAGAAAACTAAGCTGTCGCTGAGCAGCTGTAAGAAAACGCAAAATAGGAAAGAGCTAGCAAAACAGGGAGGAGGAACAGCCCGGCTCAAATGTGTCAGCAAACCAAAGGCTTTGGGGCCGCTTCTTCCTCGGGATCTCAGGACAGTCCAGGCATGCAGCTCATTACCGGGGCTGATGGGCACCCACAGCCAGGGGACGGAAAGTAGTAGCCAGTAGCCAGGTTTGAAAAGCAAACCTGCAGGAAGTGTGTTGGGGACAGTCTTCCCTTGGGCTGACTCCAAAAGACTACATTATGTTTGTCTACATGTGTACGTACATACAGTGACATTTTCATGAGAAATAAGACACTTGGGATAATTGAATGTAGTAACGTAATAATTTGTATAAAGCAATAGACTGTTTAACAACAGATTAGCTGCAACTGAAAAGAAAATCAACATAATGGAAATTAGGCTAGGAGAAAGCTTATGGAATGGATACGCACGACGAAGATGGAGAGGGAAAGGGATGGGCAATTGTAAGAAACTTAAGGAACACAGTTAAGCCATCCTAGTGCCAGTGTGTTCAGAACAGCAGAGAAAGAGGAAGAAGCTGGGGAGAAAAAGCAGTTTGTGAAATGATGGTGCAGATTTACCAGGCCCTAAAATCTGAATTAAGATGAATATTTTAAAAGGATGGGTCATGACTGAGAAAGAGTAGGGACATTTTGACTAGATTAGCTCTCTAGCTAAAAACAATTACAAACTACAAAAACAAAACAACACCAACAGAACCCTGTTTTCATGCACTGGAGAAGACCCCAGTGTCATGGTTTATGTCGGTGGCCCCCGGGTCTCATGCATTTGCATTGTGCATCTGTGATTGGTTCATTGTCTAGCGCTTGGATTGATGGTGTCAGTGCTCCACCCACAAGGGGGTGGAGCCAGGATGTGATGTAATGACAGGAAGAAGGTGTGTCTCGCTCTCTTGCTGATTTCTGCCTTGCTGTTTGCAGCCACCATGAAGTGCGGCCCCACCATGCCACCCTGCCTTGGAGCCAACTGAGTGTGGACTGAAACCTCCAAAACCTGTAAGAAATAAACCTTTCCTTTCCCAACTTTTGGCAGCAGGTATTTTGTCTCAGCAACGAGTAAAAAGTTACTAAGACACTAGGAAAGAAAAAAACTGGAGGACACAGCTCTCTGAGGCAGGGCAGACAGGAACAACACTCTCAGAAGGCCCCAAGGCTGCTTGTGGCCCAGAGCAGCACAGGGGTGAGCAAAGCTCGAACTGAAAATGCAGCCACGCTACGACAGAAAAATGGAAGCTGACAGCACTAGGAATTGAGAGGCAATCTAGAAATTTCCAAAATGTTCATGCTTTACTGAGCTGAATCTTTGCCTGACTTCACGAAGCCTGGTACAAATATTTCAGAAACTGTCTACTGTCAGGGAGAGGGAGCTTAAAGTCCCATCAACTTCAACAAATGCATTGAAATCCCTGAGGGGCCATGGAGCATCACCTCTCAGAACCTACAAGCTCACCTTCAGAAGAAAAGCAAAAGCTAAATAATCCATCCCTAACAAACCCACAACCAACCCCCACAATATTAAAATGATCATCCACTAATTTAACTGCTTACTATAACAAATATGACAGCACTTAAAGGAAACTATCAACATTCAGAGTTTTTATAATACCCCATTCAAAATATCAGTATAAAACCCAAATTTACTAGACAGGAAAAAAAATGAGAAGCATAATTAGTGGTGGGGACAGCTATTAGAAGAGATGCACAGAGATGATCCAGGCTTTGCAATAAGCAGAGACAGATGTGTGGGATAAAGCCATGAGGTCCCTGAAAGAAAATAAATGCATAAGGTAACAGAAAAATATTGAAAAAGGTAATAAAGATGAATCATAATTTTCTAAATTGAGTAAAATAAATAAAAATGAATCAGTTCACTATGTTAAGTGTCTTAGTTAACTGCAAGCAGAAGGGAGGAAGGAAAAAGAAAAGAGAGAAGAGGAAGAGGAAGATGAGAAGGATGAGGAAGGTGAGGAGGGTGAGGAGGAGGAAGAGGAGGAGGAGAAAGAAGAAGCCTGCCTGAAAATTTCAAAATCAAACTGCTGCAGTTAAAGCTGAAAGCAAAATCTTTGCAATATACTCTAGGTCTTTTTGCTTCAAGTCTGACAGGTAGAGAACATAAAAGCCGGCACTTCCATCCCATCTTAGAATCTGACAAACTGCAATTTGAGAATTTTCCTGGATGCATCAGAGATGGGTTTGAAGGCAACCCCCAGCCCCAAGCTGGAAACGGCAGCGCTAACAGGTGACACGAGGCTTCTGCGGTCCGCTTACCTGAGCAGGAGGCACTGGAGCTCCCAGCTGGGAGAGCCTCTGGCATAGTCCCTGGGTTGGCTACAGGATAGGCGTGGCCTGCAGAGGCACTGAGACCTTCTGGAGCATCCCTGAGGATGGAGGGGACAAGAAGTGCACACATGTGTGGATTTTGAGGCTAAGACCTTCACTGAGTTTGCACAGAGAAGACCTGAGAACAAACCTTCAGGGCTGTGGCACTGGGAAGGGAAGGAATAACTCCAACCATAATGGGCAGACCTGCAGAATAAGAGCCCCTGCTGCAGAGGAGAAAACCTCTAGGTGAGTCAAGAACATTGACCCCACTCCGCCCCTTCTCCCTTTTCTGTGTCTCCCGAGGAAATGCAGGCAGCAGGGTCAAGGCTCGAAGAGACAGACTGACAGCACTGCGTCAGGGATGGTCAGACGTAGCCCAGGACCTGCACCAATGGGACACACCAAGGAAAGTCATACCTGTGGGATGTGGGTCCACCACAGAGGGCTGAGCCCACATTAGAGCACGGAGCACTTCTGGTCTGTGACCCTTACGCAGACTGCAGGGTCAGTGCCCAGCACAAACTCTGTCTAAGGAGGGTTCTCAGGGAAGCTCAGGGACAACAGGGAAGTAAAGCCAGGACGCCAGGGTCTGAAGCCTCTATTGTCGGTGTCGCTCCCGGCTGGCAGGAAAAACACACGACAGATTCTGACGGTGTGCAACCTTGTCTTTATTTGTCTCCGCGTGGGCCCTGCGAGGCCTCTGCTCTGCTACCAGTCCTTTCTTACCGGTGGACTTTCTCTATCTCTCTCTGTGCTTCTCTCTCGTGGTGGGAGAGGCATTTACTTTTATAGGGTAACAGTGGCCAATCAGTTCAAAGCGCTCGATGCGGGCTGATTGGCTAACATCAGTTGTTGCTAGGCAGACTATCTTACAGAGCGGGTTGTTTAAGTCGCCAGGGCAATCAGGGGGCAGGAAGCAGGCGCCAACTTGGCTCACTCGATGGGAGGGGTAATCTAGCTCGGGCTTTGCTCTTTTCTACAGGCCTCACGTCCGACAAGTAAGACGACCGGGCTCGGCCGCGGCTCCCAACACTCTATACTTACAAGGTGTGATCAAAGATATGATGGGTGCTTAACGTTTTTAAACTGTATCCCAATAAAGGACACGTTGCCATGGGTCTCCTTCAACTGAACGCACTTAACCCACGGTCCCTGCCACCTTCTGAAGCGATTCTAGGCAGCCTCTTTCACGAGCGTCTTCAGTAACCCTCTTGTGGCTGCTTCAGCATCCTGAACTGGCTCAGAATATTTACCTGTCATGGTCATTTTGACTGGGGGAGCAACCAAAAGTTGCACAGTGCCGAACCTGGTGACTGAGGTGGGTGTGGACACACTTCGAGGTCCTTACCAGCTCACCTTTCTGTCGGCTGGCACCTGCAGAAGTATTCACCATGTTGATCCCGCTGGGCTGAGACACTCCCAAAGCAGGACTTGAGAACTGCTTGACAAAGTGACAGGAACAGTGGCTGAAGAGGCAGGAGGTTTTGAGGGGGATTATGGCAATGCGTCTTTCTGATTTTTAAAAATTTAAAGATTCACTCTATATTTAGAGCATATCTTATAAAACTATGGCAAACATAAAAAAATCAACCCAATACTGAGTCTAACATAAATCTTCACACTATGCTCCTAAGATAATAATGGCCTCAAATATTTCCCAACTTAGAAAAAAATTAGCAGGCTTGCAAACAGGCAAGAAAAAATAGTTTGAAGGGGAAGATAAGCAGCAAAATCGGGCACAGTGTGACACAGATGTTGAAATTAACAGCTATTAGGTCTAAAATAATTCCGATTGGTGTATTAAAAGCTCTGTGAGGAAAGTAGGCAGCATGCAGGAGCGGATGGGTAAGGCAGGCAGAGGGTGGGAACTCTAGGGACGGATGGAGAGAGAAGACGAGAAACCCAAAGCACCGGAGCAGAAATGACACGTGCTTTTGATGGTTCGTGAGTACACAAGACACAAGCGAGGAAGGGTCAGTGAGCTCCGTGGTCTGACCCAGAGCCCCAGACACAGAGCCCCCCACAGCATTTAACACGTGTGCAGCAGAGGGAGGCAAAGCTGAGGAGGAACACCGGGGTTTCCTAAAAATAATGACAATACCGGGGCACATGTAGGAAGCTCAGAGAGGGCCAAGCAGGACTGCAGGCTGATACATTCACGCGTGCACACACGCACACACACACGCACGTGCACACACACACCACTCAGCCTGCAGTAGGTCAAAGACAAAAGCCTGCAAAGAAATCTGAGGGAAATCTTATCTATAGAAAAACAAAGAGCATAATTATAGGGTTTTCGATCAGAAACCAAGTAAATGCAAGAGTGAGATATTTCAAGGGTTGGAAGGGAAAAATTCATGGGATTTTATATGCAGTGAAAGGAAGAACAAATTAAGACTCAAACAAAAAGGGGGGAATTCCCTGCCAGCACAGCAGCCCTGCAGGA